CGTTTCTGATTCCAATATCCTCCCTGGTGTCCCCAAATCATCAAGAAAACTGTTCCTAGGCAAACATCTATTTATTAATGATCAGTACTGCAGCAAAAAGAGAATTTTAAAACTGAACCCCAAACAACATTTGGAACACAATGACATCAACTCCTGTTATATTCTTTGCACCTTTCATTCATGAATATACATTTTTTTATAAAACTATAAAATAAGTGAATTTGGATCTTCCATTGCTTTTCCCTAATATTTTAAATTGTTGTTGCAGAATTACACATAATTATCTCTTAAAACGACTGCACTCAACTCCACTGAACTGACTCACTGTCAATTGTTCCACATTTCTCGACTGAGCAACTATGCATCCAACGTGATCTAGTAGGACGCGTTCAGGCTTTGTAATCAGAGACCAGGCCTGAATGTTGCCTGTTTTGAGTTTCTCAATCACACCCAGCTCACGGAAAAGTCATTTAATCTCTCCAATCTCAGCTTCCTCATCTGTGAAATACCTTTATCACAAGCTTACTGCAAGAGCCCTGGTCAGGTGGCTCAGTTGGTTGGAACATCATCCCAAACACCAAAGGTCACAGGCTCAATTCCCAGTCAGGGCACATATCTAGGTTGCGGGTTTGACCCCTGGTCAGGGCACATATGGGAGGTAACCGATTGATCTCTCTCTCTCTCCCCCCAGCCCCCACCTCTCTCTCTCTCTTTCTATAAAAACAAAAAAAAAAAATCAATGAACATATCCTTGGATGAGGATTTTTTTAAAAAGCCAACAAAGAAATAACAAGTGTAAAATATAATTCCTTCATTCCCAATTTTTCACAATCACACACAATGTGGCAACAAACAACTTTGTTTCCTGAGGATAAATTTTCCCAAAATTGATTAGGAGGTTCATGAGTAATAATTTTTTTTATAACAAACAGGGCAGGGTCAGGGTGAAGGGAGCTATTTATTCCCTGGTAAGAATAAGTAACTTGCGCCCTGGCTGGTGTGGCTCAGTGGATTCAGCACCACGATTCCCTGCCCAGGGCACGTGCCTGGGTTGTGGGCCAGGTCCCCAGTAGGGGGCGCACAAAGGGCAACCACACAATGATGTTTCTCTCCCTCTCTTTCTCCCTCCCTTCCCCTCTCTAAAAATAAATAAATAATCTTTTTTTTTTAAATAAGTAATTTGCAACATAGAGGTTACAGAGCAAATTTGAAGGTATGAACCTCCTAACCATTCCTCCTATAAAAGACTAAATTTGACCAACTGCTTCAGCTAACATGAAAAATTTTCAACAAAAAGGAACAAGGTCCTAGATACAAGGACCTTGTATCTCAGGGCAGGGCACACGAGCAACAGAATTTACCCTAAGAAAATAATCACATAACTGTAGAAAGATATGTGCACAACGATGTCCGTTGCCACTTTGTTTACAATGGTGAAAAATTAGAAACAATCTGGAACGTCCCACAATAAAATATTATGTAAATTACCGTTCAATCCATCCCTTTTAATGTGTCTTTATGAATTTTAGACAGTCATTAAATAATAGTGTCCATCGGTAGTATTAACAGAAGGGGAAAACTACCCCTGCCATTCTCTGTCCGTGACGTCACCAAATAAGCCAGAATTAAAGTCTCCGGTGTATGAATAAAGACTGCTACTGGACTGACGGCATACGCTGAACCAGATTCTGGGTCCAATAAGACAGGCCCCCACTGCAAAGCAAACTGATCTGCCAACTTCCTACCATAAGACCTGCCATAGGGGTGAGGATACCTTCGGCTAACGAAGGTACTAGGCCATGGATTACCAGTTTAAAGACCCAAGAAGGCCTGTGGTTTCCACGTGTCAGAGTGAGGCCCTGCACAGAACAGAGAGTAGAATAAAAGACTTCCTGGGCCAGGAGACCCGAGTTCAAAGTCTGAAGAAATCCCTCCCCTTCTCTGGGCTTCGGAGTCCCCATGTGTCAAACAAAGGGACTCTAGCATTCCTCTGAAATTCTGACTTTCTTTTAAACATCTCATGACCCTATCCCTTAGCTCCAGAATCATCCCCTTCCCCACAAGGCCACATGCAGCAGCCTTTCAACGGATCACACCGCCACCAGCCTCCTCCCTCCTTGTAGCTGCAGTCTGGGCGATCTGAAAATGTAACTGGGTCACTTCTCTCCCACACTAAAATCCATCATTGGCTCCCCTTCATCTTCAGGGCAAAATCCAGCACAGCAGTGCACCACACAGGAGCTGACCCCTGCCCGCTCCAACGGCCTCGCTTCCCTCGGGTGCCCTCACGCAGCCGCTGCCTTCCAGCCACAGGGAACTACCGGTCTCTAAACCCATCACACCCCACCAGGCCTCTCTCTCCATTCGCACGTGAGTCCTTGTGTCCAGGATGTTCTCCTGGTCCTCTTGCCTTGGAAAATTTGTTTTTGTCCCTGATGACCCAATTCGAGGAAGGTTTCCTCCAGGGAGGCTTCTCCCAATCACCCAGGCCCGGCTCAGGGCCCCTCCTCTGTGCCCCAAGGCGCCCTGTACTTACCTCTATCACTGCGCTATTTTCCTCTCCATCTCCCCAACTAGACCGTGAGCCTCTTGACAAGCAGACGTGCCTGCTATTAACCTGCTGCAAATTCCCCAGCTCCTGGCACAGCCTGGCACAGGGTGCATATCTGAAAATATTTACTGATGAACAGATGAACTCTGAGCAAAACCAGAAGGAGGTCTATGTCTTGCTAGATGCCAGCTAACAGACCCTGATGTTCAGATACCCGTTATCTGAGATTAGAAAAGGAAACGAAACATAATTTTCCCCTTTAAATCAAAGGTATCCCAGCCTCCTCTTTCATATGCTGACTTCAAAATTAGCATGAAATGCCAAGAGCGTTTCCTATAAACATCCCACAGAAGTTCAGACCACCTCCACATAGAGGTCATGCATTTGGTAGCTCAGGCCAGATGAAAATTTCCTGTCACTTATAAAAAGATCTAAAAGGGAAATACTGAGAACTGTGTGGTTATTTCAATTTCAACTGAAGAATCTGGTCTTGAAAATGCTATACTAAAAGATATTAATGCCATAAAAACCTAACAGCAGCCAAAGGACCACAGTCATTAAAAAAAAAAAAAAAAACAGGAATCCTGTAACGTATTGGCATAGACAGCTCTCCCTCACCTTTTAGGAAAATGGTATTTAGGTCATCAAGAACACGTCTGAGCAAGGGACATAAGCTTAAATCAAATGCAGAGTAGGAAAAGGCTTCACAATAATAAACAGACCAATAACAATAAGAAGGAGCAACAGCCGACACACAGGATGAACTCAGGCATACGTGCTTCATGCATAGCTGCTCCTTTAATCCTCACGAGAGCACTGAGAAATAGACACTACTGTCACGCCCACTTCCAAGGGCAGGAAAGTACCGAAAGGTTAAGTGACTGGCCCACGGTCACCCAGCAGAAGTGGATGGGCAGGCAGTCTGGCTCCAGAAGCTGTGGTCCTCCGGCAGCGCAGACCGCCTTGCAGAACAGCTTTGCCACGTCACCCCCTGCACCTTAGCTTCTCCTACATATTATACAGAGGGGTGGATTCAACTCGAAGCTTCCTCCTAGGTCGAAAGGCAGGCAGTAAAATGTGAAACAAAAATTCTAGGATTCTATAAAATTTTTCCATCTAGAAATAAAATTCAAAACTGCACGCTCTGTAAATTAATCAACTCTGTGTCTTGCAGAGCTCCTTTTATATTACTGTAATGTATTGATATAGGAAGAGCCTAACACATAAGCACCCAGCTCAGAGCAGGAGCTTGGTAAGCAGCAGCTGTTGTTACTCTTGTGATAAAACAGGAACAACCATTTAATAGTAAAGCACATTTTAATTATACACAATGTGAAATAATCAAATCTCATTCGTTTGAGGCCCCAGACCCCACAGCATAGATCAAGTTGTACAGTTGAAATTATAACAACTCAAAGCTCAGAAATTACTTGTTTCCATTAGAGATCTGACAAGTCATTTCTTCAATTGGTCACTGGTGGTTTGCAGAGAACTATTAGCAGTAATGAGTATCCTAAATTAAATTCAGAGACAGCACTGATCCGTTCGGGAAAGACAACTGGGGAGAGAGAAACGTAATCGTGGGACGTCCTTCTCCGTGTCCTCCGTCTCCCCTCTGATAAATAGCTCCCGCATCTTGCATAGTGTGGATTTCATTTGGTAACAAATGAAGGAGGGTCTAATTCTTCCCATGATAAATGAGAGTGTTGAACAGGTAACTTGTTAAAAAGATTTAGAATTGGGAAAATAACCTTATTTTCCTGTTATTTGACAACAAGCCCCCTCCACTAACAAATGAAAGACACAGTGCTGAAAGACATTAGGCACAGAAGCCACATTTTTCACCAAGTAATCCATCCTCAGACAATTACCACACAGCACTGGGTCCTAGCTGCTCACGTTTCACTCAACAGCAACAAAGATGAAGCCTACAAAATGCAAGGAGTCGCCCCAATGTGGTGGAAAAAATAATGGCTTTGGAGTCATTAAAAACCTGGATTCAAATCCCAGCTCGGCCGCTAAAGTATCATGTGATTCCTTGTCTGTAAAATGACGATAATACAAAATACCTCATAGGTTTGTAGCAGAGATTAAATGGGGACCATAAATAAGGTGCCTGACATTCTAAGAAAGCCCTTGACAAATATGAGCTCCTCTCAACTGTGCAACACAGCAATATCCTCACATTCGGGACACCAGAAACACACCACCCTCCCCTACGCTAGAAATTGCTGATCCTGTTAGAACCTATAACCAGCCCACATCCTAAAGAGCCGACTGCGTAGGTACGTGCGAGTCACAGAGAGAATGCCGCGAGACATGGCACTCCTCCACACTGCGGCATTATCCACCTTAGACACCTGTCAAGAAATACGGCTCCCTCCTGGGTCCGCTAGGACAGCAGCGGCCGCGTGATTTTTTAGGGCAGACACTTGGTATCCCCACTTACGTTTTCAAAGTCCTTCATGTTCCGTGCTCTGGTGGGAGACACTGTTTCTTCTGACACCTTTGGGAGCACTATAAAAAGGTAAAACAGACAAAACCTCATGGTATGCAAATCGCCCAGCATCCCCATTAAGGAATAGAGCCCAGAGAAGAAAACACATGAATAGCTTCCATAGTATACTCTCCTGGTACTTTCCATCTGTTGTGATTTACTGATTTGAATCCAGGGAAAGCTCTAAACCATTATATTTCAAATAGTTACAATTACTTAAACTAGCCCCAATGTAATAATGTATAGGTCAGAGGTGAACCCAGAAAATGCACTGGGCATGTGGCAAAGCAGACCCGTCCTGACATGTACTTCCTTACTGTTTGTCATAAAATTATTTTGCTGACCAGGATCTCATCTCTCAAGTCAGCAACTAAAACAAAGTGTATCCAACTGACCTGACAGCCAGGGTCGGCAAAATTATTAGGACACCAGACAACAAATGTTTTAGGTTTTGCAGACCATGTATAAAGCCCCAAATCTGTTACAATATAGTAATACTGACTCTTCTGTTGAAGTACAAAAACAGCCACAGACAATTCATAAACAAATACAGAAGCTGCGTTCCAATAACAGCTCATTTTCCAAAGCCGGCAGCGGGTCGGAGGCTGCCGATGGCTGCTACGGGACGACGAAAGGCTGCCAAAACCCACGTTTTCCCACAGGCTCTTTAATTCAGCAATCATTCGCTACTCCCCTACTCTGTGCCAAGCACCATGCTGGGTGCTGGGGAAACAGCAGTGAAAGAGACGCTGATCCTGGGCCCCAGAGGTGCCCGGTCTAGCGGCCGAGACAGAGATGGACACAAACCATCAAGTTGCGCACAAGGCCTGGTGCTTTTTAGCTGCTGAGCAAATGCACGCCGAGTGAATGAAAGCATTCTTCCCACACACATGCACGGGGCGCCTCTTCTCTGCCAGGCATCGTTCTAGATGTGGCTATTATCAGGAAACAGAACAAATAAATGGGGCTGATATTCTAGAAAGAGGAGATAGATGATAAACAAAATAATAGGGCAATTTCATAGTATGTTAAAATGTGATAAACGCTATGGAGAAAAATAAAGTGGGTAAGGAAAAGAACTACCAAGGCTGGGGTAAGGAATGCAATTTTACATAAGGTGGTTAAACCAAGCAAGGTCTCACTGAGAAGGTGAGACCCGGGCAGAAGCGGGAGGTGGCAGCATGTCTCATGGATCTGAGGACCAGCCCAGATGCCAATGGCCTAAGAGGGACAGAAGAAAAGGTAAGCAAGGTACTGGGGGGCAGATTGCAGATGGCCTTGTAGCCTCTTCTCTGGACTCTGAGGAACCAGCAGAGGATTCAGAGCTCTAGAGTAACGTGATTGGACTCGGTTTCTACAGGATTCCTCTGCCTCCCTTACTGAGGACAGGCTGAAAGGCACGTAGTCAGGAGAATTCCGGGATAATCTAGACCAGAGCTCACCGTGGCTTAGACCAGGACAGCACAAGAGTGAGTCAGAATCAGACCAGAAGTGGGTTAATTCTGGATATTTTTTAAACAGCCAACAGAAATCAATGAAATATATAAATTTCAGAGAGGAAAGCGCCCCTAAATCAGGTGGAGGAGAGCCAGGGAAGGCAGTGAGTTTCAGGCCAAGTCTGAAAGAGGTAGCAGGCAGGTACAGGGCTAAAGGAAAGAAACCCCCCATGTGAAGGCCCAGAGGTGGGCAAGGGCGCGGCGCTCTGAACCCTCCCGCAGAAAGGAGGTTCAGGAGTTGAGCAGGGGCAGACTGTGAGGGGCCCTGCATGCCTGACTCAGGACACACAGACTTGTGTTGCTCTTCCTCCCAGAGGCCACTCCCAGTGACCTGTGTCTGTGTCCCTCTCTGGGTCCTATTCACTCTTCAAGTCTGGCTCCAATGTCCGTTTCTTGGGAAACTCTTGCCTGACCCACCTGCTCCATTCACCAAGATAAATCTCCCTGTTACTCTCTCTCACAGCACCTGATGCTTCTTCGCTCATTACATTAATCATCTGATTTATCATAATAATTCTTTAATTGTCTGTCTTCTCAGCTTGACTGCAACCTGTTCAAGGTTGAATCCCAGTGCTCAGCCCAGAGCCTGGCATGAAACAGACGTACACACGGGCCTACCAATTTTCTGCTTCGAACTGTCTGTGGGCAGGAAGAGCAGAAACAAGAATTGTTAGATTTCCTGTTAAAAGTAACAGTCAACATATTCTGAAGGAACACCTAAGAGTGGCCTGTAAGCTCAAGTATCCTCCAGAAGTGAACCTTGTGACATTTATATGATCGGCTCTAAAAACTTCTTCCTTTTGCACATATCGCTTTGGAGAAGAGAATAAAACACAAGTCAAAATATCTCTAAGATATTTCAACAAGTCAAATTATTAGCACTTCCCACAGATACTTTCAATAGCCTGCACTTTTCTCAGAAACAAAAATTATGGAGACAGTAAAGCAGGAAGTCTCCTCATAATCCAGCCTGACCACAGCAGACTGCTAATTTACTCGGCACCGTCTCCTGTGGTCTGACCAGCTACTGGGCCTCCGCTGGCAAAGGGAATCGAGCAGCCTGCGGGAAGCCCTTCCAGCAGGGAGGCCTTGGCACATGGAGGTTCAAAGAGCAGCGCTCCTCAGCCTCAGCCACTCGGCAGCGGGGACCCACGGATCGCCCACGCCCAACCTAGTCGCCAATCCCATGTCCAGCTTCCACGCAGTCATTCAGTTTACAAGCCTGGCAGCAAGGAAAAAATCCTCATGAAATATGGCCTGAAGGACATCAACTCTTCTAGTCCAGTGTTTACGACAGGAGGTGAGTAACAAATCAATACACATGTAAAATCGTGAGCACCCACTGTGAGCACCTCACAGGCCAGGGTGGGCTCTGGGCCTCAGAGACATCGGAGCCCCTGCCCCAGCTCCGGGCGTCGAGGCCCTCACACATTGGTCTCTGCTCCCCTTGTTCTGAATCAAAACAAATGCCCAGCTTGGGGTACTTACCACCATTTCCCAAACCAGCAATGGGGCTGATGCCTTCCAGGTCATCTGGTAACTTGGGAACAAGGCCACTAAGAGAGAACATATGCGTAAGAAATGAGTTAGTGCATGAACAGCAGAGACTGTTGAGCGTGCCTAAACTGCATGTGACAATCATCAGGCCACGGCCGAGCTACCTGGGAGGCACGCAGCACAGAGGCTGAGAACTCAGGCTTTGGGGTGGAGTCTGGCTCTAACACTTAACAGCTGAGGGACCTTCAGGAAGGCTGCTCACTCACTCACTCCCTCCCTCGCACCTCAAGCTGAATGCCATGTGCCGTATGTATGCCATATATGTGGTAGCTGCAGAGGCACTGTGCCAAGTAAATTTCTGGGTCTCACTTTCTTAATCTGTTACCAGGGAATACCACCCTCCAGCAGTAAAGATTAAATGAATTAACATACATAAACACAAAGCACATAGTAAACACTCAGTAAGTGGCATGTACTCTTTCTGTCATTACTATTATTAACATACCTATCACAACCAAAAATCAAGCTTCTAAGAATCAGGCACCAATTCAGATGCTTGAAGACCGTCAAACAAAAATGCAAAATTTACCAACCTAAGTGTTACTATGTGAAATATTGATATAAAAATAGGTTCACTGAAGATCTGGAGACACTGTCAGAAAACTAAGCCAGAAATGGAGGAATGGTTTAACACAAAAGGCGGTAAGTACCCTGGATTCTATTCTAAGGTCTGCCATACACCGCTCCAAGTTTTGTTCCCTTCATCTATGAAGGGAGTAACTGACAACTAAACAGGACACTAGCGCCTAACAAGGTACCTGCATATTGTGCATAACCCAGAAATGGAAGCAAAATACCACTGCCAGCTAGAAACACACAATGTTTTATAATTCATATTGACCATCATGAGAACTGCCTGGTTCTTCAAGGCTCCAGGCATTTTTCAAAGGAAGGCACTATGACCCAGATAACCCAGTGGCCCACCCAGAGCTGCGCGGCAGGCAGGTAGAGAACCAAGGCCAGAACCCCAGCCTTTTGTTTCTAATCCACAATGATGCACCTCTGTCTCAAGCTGTAAACGAGGAGTTGATGGAAGCTCAGCTTGATTTCTTGGCAGTTTGCTTTTTCCATAGCTCTAAATCTAAATTCATTCTGTCCCAAAGGCAATTTTGCCTGATCGCCAAACAGAGCTGGCATGCACCTCCAAGGTGGGTGCCAAGCATTAAAAAAAAAAAAAAGATATCATAAAATTCCAACATCAAGGGAATGATTACATAAAATGTGTCTGCTATAAAGGTAACAAGAAAAAACTTACATAGACTATGACCTCAATTATAAAAATAATACACACACACACACTAAAGTCACCTCTAATTCTTCTTGGAAATTAGATGGGCTATAAACGAAGACAAAGGAAATAGTTAAAACCATCATTTATGGGAATGAGATTTTCCTCTTTTAATTTTCTGTAATTCCCAATTTCCTCCGGTAAGCATCACTAGAAGGACAAACTTCATTTTCTAAACTGAATTTTCTTAAAAATTCAAATCAAGTTCAACGATCACCTTTCGCAGACAGCGGCCCAAGGCACACACCCGGTCCCCGGTCAGGCTCAGCCTACAGTCATCTCCACAGCCCCGGTCTGGGTTCCTCCCCACAGCCACCGGAGGGCTCCCCTCCCCCTGGCTGAAACGGCCCATCAATTACTCAAGCCAAGATCAATCACGGCTGAAAACTACCTGGTAGGCAAAGCCAAAGAATTTGGTCTTAAACAAGTTTCCAAAAGGCAAACACTGAGGTATGAAAACCAACATTTCTCTTCCCAGCTCTTAGAAGATCGCAATGCAGAAATCCCCGTCTGATTCCTGCCAAGTTTCCACTTGGGCTTTACCCACCCACTTTTTTTTTTTCCTAAAATTTATTTTTTTATTTAATCTTTATTGTATTTTTTTCCATTACGATTTAGTCCCCCTACACCTCCCACCCCGCAGCAATCACCACACTGCTGCCCGTGTCCACAAGCCCTCTTTCCTTTTTGTTCAGTCCCTCCACCGCCGAGCCTCCCCCCGCCAAACGGGCTGTCATCCGCTCTCTAGCTATGAGTCTGTCTGTTTTGCTTGTCAGTTCAGTTTGTTCATTAGATTCCACATATGAATGAAATCATATGGTATTTGTCTTTCTCTGTCTCATTTCACTTAGCAGGATGTTCTCCGGGTCCATCCATGCTGTGACAAAAGGTACAATTTTCTTCTTTTTTACAGCTGAGTAGTATTCCTTTGTGTAAATGTCCCATGGTTGTTTTATCCACTCATCTACTGCTGGACACTTTACCTACCCACTTTTACAATGCTACGCATCTGTCACCTGCACACTCCAGTCAGTTTCAGCCACCCCTCCAGCTCTCAGGAGCTCTCTCTTCCCATTCTGATCACTCATTTTTAGCCTGAGAACTAAGGTTGGGGATTCCTGGAGCTTCATGAGATAGCAAAACTATGCAAACAGAAAAAGAGAGCTCAGACAGGGTTTTTATCATGGTATACATGGGGGAGATGAAGGCCCAGGAAGGGGAAGGAACTCGTTTGCTGAAAATCACAAAGCATCAGTGGCAAAGCTGAGACCAAATCCAGCATCACCCTAACAAGCCCAGCTGACAGGGCATCCCCGCTGAGCGGGCACCGCACTCAGGACAGGACAGGGTGGGGCGGGTACCTTCCCACTTAAGCCTCACCACAGCCCTTCTGTGGTAGGTGGTAGTTTTTAAAACCATCATTTATGGAAATGAGATTTTCCTCTTTTAATTTTCTATAATTCCCAATTTCCTCCAATAAGCATCATTAGATAGTTTTCAATGAGGACACAGAGGCCCAGAAAAGTTAATAAGCTGCAAAAGCCAAGCTAGCCAGATTTCAAACAGCATGGTCTTAACCTCTACCCGACCCTGGCACCCCTAACCCCTCCCTCACGGGGGCTGTGGCGGGGTCCAAATGAACGGGGGCAGTGCAGAGCCACCGCGACTGCTGTTTGTCAACTATTTGTTGAGTGAATAAATGGACACGCACTCGAGCTTCACCATCTCACCCTCCTATCCTGCTCCATGGCCCCCCGGAAGGAGCCATCTCCTTCTGTGTCTGCTTGCGCAGTAACAACGGTCCATTCACACCACAGACCCAACAAGGCCTAAGCATTTCATTGGTACTGCATTACGAGAGCTGTGGATGGGTCTGGACCTCACTTTCGGAAAACAATTATACCAACAAGTACACTTCTGTTTGCCCCTCAACATTCGTCATGCTGTTATTTATCCTTAGAGAAGAAGTACATAAATACCAAAATACAGATAAGCCTCAAGTCCTCTTTGACTACTCTTCACTCCCATCTCAGCTGTGAATAAGACATGCATCCTTCCAGACCTTGGTCTGTGTTTACAGAGACAGAGACACAGTTTTATTTTGTGGTTTAAAAATAAATAAATGCAATCAAACTTTATAAATTACTCTGCAGCATCTTTTCTTCATTGAACGTGTCCTAAAGATATTTTCATGACAGTACAAATAGATGCTCCCTCAATGCTTTTAATTCCCACAAAGCATTCTAAAGCACTCTTTTCCAAAACTTATTGCCCATGACCCATATTAAAAAACATATTACCCTTAATTCTTGAAATGGTTTCTATTCTGTTCTATTCCATTTTATAAAATTCTGACTGCAACCTAAGAAATTGAATTTCATGAGCTGCTATGGGTCACAGTCTGAAAGACACTTTTGAAAGGATCTGTATTTACACAGGACCCTGATGGTAATTCAATTTGTTTCCAAGTTTTCCTTTTACAAACAATGCTGTACAAATATCCTCATACAGCTTTCCTTGTGCACATGCATGAGAATTTCTTGTGGATAACAAGAAGTGGAACGAGACCAAAACATATTCACTTTTTTTTAACAGGCAAAGGATTTGAAAATATACAAATGGCTAATAAGCACATGAAAAGACACTCAGTATCATTAGTCTTAGGGAAATGCAAATCAATACCACAACGAGATACCGTGCCATACCTCCACGGATAACTGCAACAAAGACAACGACAACAAGTGCTGGTGACAGTACGGAGAAGCCACAACCCTCACACACTGCTGATCAGAGTGAAAAATGGTGCAGCCACTTTGGAAAAGAGTTAGTTCCTCAAAATGTTAACTACAGTGTTACCATATGATCCAGCAATTCCACCCCCACGTTTACATCTAGAGAGAAATGAAAACATAGGTCCGTATAAAAACTTGTATACAAATAAATGATCACAGCCATGTTATTCATAATAACCAAAAAAGCAGAAACAACACAAATGTCACAAACCAATGAATGAATAAACAAAATACAGCACATGTATACAATGGAATATTATTCAGCCATAAAAAGGAATGAAGTACTGAGGCACCCTACAACGTGGATCCATGTCACAAAGACAACATACCGTGAGGTCTCTTTTATACGAAACATACAGAATAGGAAATTCTATAGACACAAAGTAGATTGTGTGTTGCCTAAGACTGAGGTGGGGAGGGAGGAGGAACGGATCTAAAGATACAGTGGGCAACACGCCAGACGTGCTCACTGCCCTCAGAGTTTACACGGGTGGCGAGAGCGCTCTCCCTAAACCTCACCGCCCGGTGGCGCCCCTGTCCAAGGTCAGCCTTGGATCAAGCTTTCTGGCCTTCGCTGAAAACTTCATTCCACCATCCCCTTTCTCAATCTCCTTCTACAAAATTCCATGAAGGCACCCTGTGCCTGATAGAGAACAAACGGTGGACAGACTTTTAGGGAAGTACAAACTGATCAGAAAACATTCCTTTTTTGGTCTGCCCCTAAGCAGAGAGCAAGCACGTAGTGGCCATGTAACGGAGCTGAACAAGCGGGGCCCAGGTCTTAGGAAACTCACAGTTAGGAAGAGGCAGGATCCTGGGCAAGAAATTAAAGCGATGGACCCAGGGTTGTGGACACGGAGGATTCTGCCCAGGAAACAGTGCGGCATGGTAGCAATATATAAGAAAAATAGTTAACATTTAATGCACTCCCAGTAGGAGCCAGGCTATATACAATTTCAATTCAACTACACAGACATCCAGATAAAATAGGTATTATCGGACAATATCTACACAGATAAAAATCACCAAGGAGAAACTGAGGCTCAGAAGGGTTAAGTAAATTACTCAAGCAACACAGCTAGTAACTGGCTGAGGCAGGATTCAGATCGTCATCTGCGTACAAAGCCCAGGTTCCTTCAGTGCCCCCAGGCAGGGCTTCACACAGGGCCTCAGCTTGGGTGAGGCTCCTGGGGCCGGGACCTGGGCCCAAACCTCACCGGGCTGGCACACGCTGGGGCACCCCCCATTGATCAGGTTTACTGAGAATGACGCACATTAGCCTAATTCAACAAGAGTCTAAGGACAAACTGGACTCCAGTGTAGTCTCTAAAACTGGGGCCTGGAAGTTACCAAGCAGAAGAGTGCTCACACTACCAGAAGATGCGGTGATTTTATTCTAGGGATTTTTCTCCTCCACTGTGACCACCTACTGGAGAACCTATCTCTCAGGATACTTCTGCCAGTCTTGAAGGGTCCATCTTCCCAGAATTCTCTCATAATAGGTACAGAGCACTAGTCGGAAGGCAGGACAGGGTCCTGAGAGCCAGGCTCTGGAGTCAGTGGGCCTGGAATACATCCTGGCTCAAGCATGTACTTTCTGTGGATCCAGACCCATTCACTTCGCACCTCTGAGCCGCAGTGTCCTCACCTGTACAAAGAGGGTAATACTCTCAAAAGATGGCCCTTCATTCAGCCATCTTTTTAACAAATAGTGACTGAGCCCCATTTTTGAGCTGGATATCAGGTTAGGAACTAGGCTTACAAAGATGATCAAAATGCAGCTGCTGCTCTCAAATAGGTCGTAGTCTACCCTGGGAGACGGCCAAGTGGACAGCGCGCCTGCAGGGTCCAACAGGGGAGTCATCAGCCACACGGAGCCACTGCGCCCCTGATCTGGTTAATCCACGCTGAGAAGCGCTGCAAGTGTAAAATGCGTACCGGACTTCAAAGACTCAGTAAGATAAAAAGAAAAAAGAATGCAAAATAATTTTAATAATTATTAATAATTTTTGTTATTTACAAGTTATAATGATAATATATGGAAATATTTAATTAAATAAAATATATTACTGAAGTTAATTTCACCTCTTTCTTTTTGCTTTTTTAATCTGGCTACTAGAAAATTTTAAATTATGCGTGAGGCTTAGGTTATATTTCTGTTGGACAGCGCTAGTCAATAAAATTCAGCGAGGTAAGGACTGAGGTAAAGTCAGCGATGGATGGGGCGGCTAGGAGACTACAGAGGGCCCCGTGGGGATGGCGAGTATGGGTGAAGGCTTCCTGGCCGTGCCATCTAAAATGGGGTCTGAAAAGTTAATAGGCATTAATAAAGCAAAGGAGTGTAGTGAGGGCAAATCCAGGCAGCCAGAACAGCAAGGGCACTGGCCGAGCTGTAAGAAAAAACAAGGCAAGCTCATTCATGACAAAGAGTTTGGCGACTGGGCAGAGTGAAGAGCCTGGGGAGGAGACAAGGTAGAGAGAGGAAGGACAAGAGAGACTGTGATGTAGACGGGGCCAGATGAGGACGGACCTTGGAAGCCATATTAAAGCATTTCATCCTGAGTGCGGAAAGGAGCCGGGGAAGGTCTGAAGCAGGTGAGTAAGAGAGTCGTTGCCAGGAACATACGCAGTCTCTACAAAGTATGTAGGACCTACAGTCTGGGTCCTACAAAGTCAGCGAGAGGAGGGAAGGGAAAACACTTGATGACCTATTGAGTTGCTACCCTGGGTCAGACACTGGGCTTAACTTTTTAGTCTCACCCACTTCACAGGTGATGAACATTGAGACTCAGAGGGTAAGTGACTCACCCAAGGTCACAGGACTGTTCAGGGGCAGAACTGGGACTGAAATCCAGCTAGATCTGGCCAGCTGGCACTGAGATGAGAAAAGCGATCTGAGAGAATAATGGAGTTTATCTTAATGGCAATGAGAAACAATCATATAAAACAGCAAACTGCAACGATCAGGTTTACATTCTAAAAGGGACTTACAAGTGAGAATGACAATACATGGAAATAGTGAACTGATATTAGAGACATGAAGGAAAATACGACAGTCTGGGTGAGAGGTCATACCACAATGTAGCGGGGCAGTGGTAGTAACATAAAGAGAAAGAGACATGATGAACTACCACAGGATCCAATTAGGCAGGAGCTGCAAAGACACTTGCTCTGCCTTATACACAGGAGATTTGCAATAAACAAAGTAAATAGTTGTCCAGGTTTGCTCAATACAGGACTTGTTTACACCTGCTGTCCAGGCATAAATTTTTTTTTATTGTTTAATTTTTTTTGTTAACTTATTTATTTTTTCAAATACAGTTGTCTCTGCCTTCCCCCCACCACTTTCCCTTGCCCCCTCTCTCCTCTCTCTCCCTCAATCCTTCCCCTTTGGTTTTGTCCATGAGTCCTTGCTATATGTTCCGGGCGTAAATATTAATTGTGTCCGTTTCGCTCTTCAAGGCGTCCAGGTTTGCACGATAAATAATATGGTTACCCTTTCAATTACGGTCTGTTGACTAAGAGCAGCAGCCTGTCCCTAGCAGACTGGGACAAACACCGCCCGGCCTCAGCCAGGCTCTCCTCGCACCCTTCTACTCACTGTCCACCCAGGAGTCCCGGACACCCACAGGGCCTCAGCCCTACAGCAGAGCAAGGCGCTGTCAGGCCTTCCCTTCAGGAGAGACCCTGGCCCCACCAGCAATGTGGACCCCAACTGCCTCTTGGAACAGGTCCATTGGGGCCCACTGTCTGTCATTATTCCCTAATTTATATTACTATTGACAATGATGATGATGATGGTGATGGACGTGACGGTGACAGCAACACCATCACTCTTTAGGCACTGATTATGTGCCAGGCAAAGGGCGGGCAAGCATCTTCTCCTTTAATCCTCACCCCAATTCTGTGGAGTGGCTATCGGTACCAGCCCCATTTTACAAATGGGAATGGAGTTAAGCCACTCTATGAAGGTCGCACAGCTAGTAAGTTTAAAGGGCTGTATCTGATTCCAATTCTGTCCAACTCTAGCCAAGGTTCTCAATCACTGCGGTCCACCCCCCAGTCTCGGTAGCCACTATGTGACCCCATACGCAAAGTCTGGACAGACCAACTACACTCCCCATAATGAAAGCAAACCCCGAAACCAGAAGGAACCATCAAGTACCACCAGGGTCCTGCCCCTCAACCAGCTCCCACTAATGGCCACAGCCCAAAGGGTCCCCCTCCTCCCACTTTTTTAGAGAAGGCCTTACCTGTCCCTCACATCCTCTCCAAAGAATGTCCCGAAATAGGAAGGGCAAGTGTGGTGCCCGCCGGGACGCCCAGCCCTCCGCACCCACTATCAGCTGGTGGGTCCCCGAAGAGACGCCCCCCGCACAAGAAACCCAACCCGCACACCTGTCTCTGTTCGGAAACTCTCAAACACCCTCAGGAGCAAACCCCAGTTCTCCGTTGGAGCGAACTCCCATCAGCGGGAACCCCGTGCTCGTTACCGTGAACCCCCAAAACCCGGGCCGCACCTGCAGCCGCTGAGCGTCCCGGGGAGGGTGACGTCCTCTTCCAACACCGAGTCCATCATGGACACAGGAGGGGTGTTGGCACTGGTGTGTCTGGTGAAGGCACCACTGGATCCCCCCGCGGTCGCGACCCGCCAGGCTCTCCAGGTCCCCGCCCCCTCCAATGCAGCTCTTGTTCGGACTCTGGCGGCGCCGCTGGAATTCAAACCGCAGCCGCCGCCATCTTTCCCGGCGCTTCTTCCTACGGAAACGAGGCGGGGTCAACGAGACGCGTGCGGTGAAGCCGACCTGCCGGGACCCAATGCCAGGCAGGGAAGCGCTGGTGTGCGCCATCTTAACTAAGGGCAGAACGCCCGCACTTGGGCCAGCAAGTCTAAGGAAAGACGGCCTGGTGGCCGTATTTGGTGAGGGCAGCCAGGCAGAGGCCAGGGAGGGCTCCATCTTTGTTGAGGGCTAAAGCTAACCTTGGTCCGTTAATTTAAGCGGGAGTTGGGAATCGGGCCACTCCTGGACCCTGAGAGTTCATGACCTGCTTGCTATATGCTTTCTGTGATCATGACCACGAACCTTACACGCTGTTATTCCAAAAGACTTGCTTCCTCCTTGACTTGAAACTCATTGGGTAATTCTTTGCTGCCTCCCTTTAGAAAAATCCCACATGTAATAAGTATCCCAGCTCAAATAGTAATTTGCACACTTAATTTGAAAGCAGCTCATTCCTATGAGCCAAGTGGTCAGCAACACTTACTTTCCGATCTCTCCTAGTGATCGTGTATTACCTTTGGGGCTCAAACGCTCTTAAGATCAGGAAACTGAGGCCGAGAGAGACAAAGAGACTCTCCCAAAGTCATGCACAGTAAGCCTATGAACTGAATGGAGCCAGGTCCGGGGCGCCAGCCAGCCGCGTCAGGACAGCATAACCCTGCTGCCATGCCTGAAGCACAGAGCCATCACCAAACACCTGGATATTTGGGGCAGAGCTTGGCAAGAGAACTCAAACTTCATCTCCCAATCTCAACGCTGCTCTACCTTCCTCTCCAACGCCGTCAGAAGGGTCCTGGATGAATATAACTTGAAAAGATGGATGCGCAGGCTGATGGTGACTTTTTCTCTAATCATGTATAAGTCCACCCTCAGTGTTTTTTCATTCTTCAGTTTAAGTGTTGCGTTCCAAAAGAGGCCTTCTTTAATCCGCTAACCTAAATCAAGCCCTTTCTTGTTTTTCCTCTGTGGCACTTACCATATTTTGCAAGTGTACACTCCTGTGTGTGTGTGTTTGTTTTTGTTTGTTTGTTTGTTTGTTTATCATCATCCTCTTGCACTAGACTGGAAGCTCCATAAGGACAGAGACTGTATTCTGAATTGTTTATTGTTATATCCCCAACACATATCACAGTGCCTGCACCCAACAGGTGTTTAAAAATATATGTTGAATGATTCAATCAATCTGGAAAATGGAGATAAAGCCTGTTCTGCAAAGATGTGAGGATGACCTGAGATACCTATAACAGCTCAGTCAAATGGTTATCCCATATTCACACTCCCCCTCTTTCCCCTGCTGCCCATATGTGTTCATGTGTTCATGAAGCCTATAAAACTTGACACTCGTCCTTTCCCAGATCTTCAGCCACCCCCAGAATCAGCAATAAAATAACACCCCGAAAGACAGAGTGGGCAGGAACCAGTTGGTTCCAGGGAAGGGGCAGAGCTTGAAGCCCCAGAACCAACAGTTCTTGACGGGGCTAACTTCAACCCCTGAGATGAGTGTGTCCAAAAGCGCAGAAGCTGGTTCTGCCACTGACTCTCTGTGGTCTTTGGCCAACCACTCCTCTTCTCTGGGCCTCAGTTTCTACATATGTAAAATCAGAGGGTTGGACTGGTTGGATGTCTCAGGACCTCACAGCTCCAAAGGCTATTTCTTTGTGGTTTTTTCTTTTTTGTTTCAAAGCTACTAATGCACAATCAACTCTCTTCTGGTGAGGGGGCTGAGTTACAAATCATCACTTCTCAAATGAAGGAACTAACTTTTCAACCAGCAGATGAAAGCTCAGGAGAAAGGAAACAAGGAAGAGGACTTAAAACGACCTTTTGGAGTCGGTCTACTATTATCCCCACTTCACTTACAGATGAGAATACTGAGACTGAAAGAGGTAAAAATAACTTTCTCAAGGTCTCACAGCTGGTTAAGTTGCAGAGGTGGGATTTGAGGTCAGGTCTCTCTAAATTCCAAGGCACCAATTGTTTCAGGCAGCCTGTCTTCCCTATTTGTTTCTTTTTCTCCACTTTAGAATTTAGGATTAAGAGGCGAGGTCTGCATCCAGACAACAGTATTTCAGGGATGTGTTCAGCAGGCTCCTAGGGCAACTGCTTCAAGGTGGCCACGAGGTAAATCTTAGTGTGGACAGTCCGATTGCAGGTCTGGAAGCCTGGGCACCTGAGTTCTGGGCCTGGAGAGCCCTCTCACATCCTATGGCCTGGAGTCTCTTCCCCTTGCTTCTTGGTTTTCTTATGTGTAAAGCAGGGCAGACAATGCTGAGCTCACACAGTTGCATTATCTAATTAGATAGTTTGGAAACTATAAAGAAATAAGAGGCTGAGAGGCAGTCTTCTTACAATTAATCCATTGCCCCTTTCAAAAAAAAATGGATTGTGTGCTAAACCCTGTAGTGACCCTGGGAACTGAAAATAGCATCAATCGTACAAAGGATAGGCTATTTGGGAAGCTCTTTTTCCTGTTTTCATGGTCAGGGACAAAGCCCTTTGCCCCATCTCTGTCTCACCATGGTCTTTCTTTCTGCCAAGCCTAGAGGTGACGTCACTACCACCAGCTGTCTGGGCTATCTGGCGCCATCTCCTTGACAACAGCCACCCAGCCACAAAGCTGGCATTATTATTTCCATGGGCAAGGTCATATCGAATGGCTGCAAGGAAGTAGCTTGCAGCCAGATGTTTCTCATTAGCGTACAACCCTCCTGAAGTTTTAGCAGCTCAAGCATCTCATCAAGACACATGAGCTGCCATTACGAACAGCAAGAATAACTTTTTATACGATAAATACATACATATTGCTACTTTGCATTATTTCATATTATCCTCATGACTCTGTGAAGTAGATTGGAATTATTGCCCTGCTCTGCAGATGAGGAAACTAAGGCTCAGAGAGAGGAGAGATTTGCCAAAAGCCACCTTTCCCTTTCTTTTTTAGCTTTTAATTTAGAAATAACTGCAGGCAGAAAAAAGTTGTGAAAGTTTCCCTGTATTGCCTTCACCCGGAGTCCTAAAATAGTAACACCTTACATAACCATAGCAGAATTGTCAAAAATAAGAAATTACATTGGTACAATATGATTTACTACAGACCTAAGTGAAATTCAATCATTTTCCCATCTGCGCCTCTTTTCTGGCCCACTGCATTTAACTGTCATGTCTCCTTACTGTCCACTAATCTGTGACAGTTCCTTTGTCTTTGTCTCTTTCTTTCATGACATTGACACTTTATAAAAGTTCTTGCCAGTTATCTGATAGAATGCTTCTTAATTTGTGTTCATGTGGTGTTGCCTCATGATTAAATTGAGAGTGCATTTTTGGCAAGAATAACACAAAAGTGATGCTGTGCCTTTCTCAGGTTATCAGGAGGCAGACTCTGTTAAAATGTCTCATTAATTGATGACATTAACTATAATCTCTTGACTAAGCTGGTATCTGCCAAGATTCCTCCTGGTTAAATTACTATTTTCCTAGAATTAATAAGAATCTTGGGGGTGATATTTGAGACTATACAAATATCCTGTCTTTAGGCAAACTTTCACCCACTAATTTTATCATCTATTGATAATTCTTACCCAAAACAATTACTACAGCGGTATTTCCCAGTTGGTGATTTCCTATTTTCATCTTGCCCTCTATATTTATTCATTAGAATTCTAACATTAGGAAGAGCTTTCTCTTCTCCCCTCATCCAGTTTATTTATCCATATGGACTTGTGGATATTTGCTTTATTTTACAGGTTATAATCTGTTATTTTCATTATCTCTTGTGTTACACATTTGTCCTAGATTTGGCCACGTCACCCTTTGGATACCCAGGTGTGCCCAGATTCACACCCAAGCCTGCCTGGTCTCAAGGCCAGCGCTTTTTCTAGCACACCACCCTGCCCACTTGCTCTGAAGACCTCTTCCCAGCAGGTCTTGACTGACTCCCAGTTAGTGACCACAGACTTCCCCACAGCATTCTGGGTTACTAAGCCAGCCCCGCGGTCTAGGCCCGACATCTAGCCGAGGCTATGCACATAATAGGTGCTCACGGCCAGTTTGCCAAATTAACTCCGAGTCCCAACTTTTCTCAAGACAGGAAGAGGAATGACAAATGCCTCCTTTCAAAGGGAACGACATGTATATTATTGGGCTAGACAGGGTAACTCACATCAATACGACATCATCTTAGACCTGCCAGTTTAACTTTCTGGGCTTACTTTCTTACCTGTAAACTCATTGGGCTAAAACATTGATGCCCTCCTCGTCACTGACATTCCATGAACAGCTGATAGGAGCTCTTTCTCTGTGCCAGGCACTGTGTTAGGGCTTGACACTCACTCCTCACAATAATCATATAAAACAGAGACCAATTTTGCTCCAATTTTACAGTTGATAAAACAGAGGCTCAGAAAGGAGCTGGCCTCACAGAAGCTAAGTGGTGGAGCTGGGAGTTGAACCCAGATTTCAATCCAGTACCCATCCTCTTCATCACGATGCCATAGCGCGTTTCACTGAGTTACTGCTATCCTGCCTTCCATAAGCTGGTTAAAATGCACATTTAGTAGTTATAAGTCAAAGTCAAACATCTTAAAATACTTTCTTGTTATAAGAAAAATAACAGTAAGACTGTAGGGGCATGAAGAGAAGAGATAGAGTCATTCTGATTGAGGGGTTGGGGAAAGGTGTTTGGCAGGCAAGATCTATGCCCTGCAAAAGCAGAATAGAAGCCTGTACACACCAGGTGGTCCACAGCGCCTCACTTTTTAAGGCCAGCAGAAGTAAAATAAAATCACTGCTTAATGCAACACCATTTACAAAGTCCATGTCCCATTCTTCATCCCTCGATGCTCTCTCACAATTCAGAGACAAGTTGTTATCCTTCATGAATAAGGAAATTGAATCCCAAGAGAATGAACTGATTTTCCCAAAGTCATACAGCAATCCAGTGACAGAGAAAAAAATGTGGACCTC